TCGAAACGACGGGCTTCCAGACTCATATTGTCAGTGTCTTTGTGGGGGAGAGCATGAACGACGATCTTTTCCCAATGCTCTGATCCTCTCATTCTGCTAGTAGATCAGCGTGTTGGTCTGGTTCAGTGTCGTGAATAGGGCCACCATGGTTGGGCCAATGTTGGGTGGCACCGAAATCGGTTGAAATTTCTATGGCGCCTTCTCTGGAGCTTTGCGAGTTTTGACGTGTTAGACATCGTGATCGACCGCATCGTCGGAGGAGGGGGAGGTGGTGCGCTCGTCTCTCCATGGTGAAGTGTTATCCTTCATAAAGGGCATACCATTGTTTTTGTCAGCGTCATGGACGGGTGAAAGGATGGTTTCGTGGTTGTTGTTGTCGTCGTGTTGACCAACCATGATTGGTTTATGAAGTTTTTTGGTTTTAATCTTTTGGTTTTAATGAAAGAAAAGATGGGGAAACAAGTTACCCATAAACTGCACCACTGATCTAACTTGTCGATCATAATAGGCGGCCAACAACATACCCGCGGTCTCGACGATCAACATATAGGGGGGGTACCTGCAGACACTCTGATGCTTAAGTTAGTTCGGGTGGAGAGGTAAGCAATAAAGGTTAAAGAATTGAATACCTGACCTTTCTGCAGAGGAGGGATTTTGTAATGAGCCTCCAGCGATGGGCCAATAGTCTCCTTCATGGGTTGAATGTCCAAGCCCACAACGGATGACTGTCAGGATTCCTATGTAGATGCAGAGATGATGAGCTCGTGCTCATCGTCCTGAGTCATCCACTCTGCATTCTTCGGTTAGTGGATGAACTTGCCTGTTACGAAGGGCAGAAAGGTCCCACGAGGCGTGTGAGTCAGTTGGTGATGTGTCCTCGGGTGAGGAACATGTGGGAAATATGTTCTCTATTGGACCCAATGGGTTGGGCTAGCATTCTGGGCCGTCCTCGACATAGGACTAGATTGGGCTTTACTCGACGCTGGGTTAGCTACAGACCCACTCTATTTATAAGAAGATTTCTTATTGATATTTTATTCATGATATATGTCCTATAAATAAGACTCATACTACATTTGAAACTAACATTGATAATGAGAATAATACAATGCACTTTATTCTTCTCTTTTTTCTCTTATATTATTTTGTTTTGGTCTTTTATTCTTTTATTTTACATTACTCGTTTTGAAGTTTTGTTATTGTGTTATACCTTATTAAATTATCAAATATATCTGAAGGATGGAAAAATAATAAGTTATTATCGATTGGAGGATTTGGGGTGGAAAATAAAAGTTCTGAACTGAACTCCATAGCAAAACACGAATTCTGTTTCGGTAACACAAGTGACGGGCGTCACTTGCGTGACGGCCAGATCATCATTCTTCTTAGGATACTGACGAACATCAATGGTATGATGGGGAGACCATCATGGTCTCCAGGAAAACATTGAGCATTATCGATTATCACATGGATGACAATTGAGGGGAAAGGGTGATGACGGGCGTCACCCAGGTGACAAACTTCCCGTCATCATGTCAGTGGGTGTATTGTGGCCTGCTGAGTTGTATTTTTGGTATTGTTTTGTCATACGGTCGATGTTTGGCCGATGTTTGGTGTGTTTTGATGAATTTTGGTTGATTAATTGAATTTCTTGATTAATCTAATGATGTTGAATTTTGCTGATGATGAGATAATTATGTGATGAAAATATAATTGATATTATGGCGAGTAAACCAGCTGTGGGGACTACTTTGATGTTGTTACTTATAATTAGATATGGAATTATAAATATGTTGTTGAGTTGTTGTGGTTGTGCATTATATTGTACATACATCATATGTTGTTGTTGTTGTAAAAGAGGTGAGTAACAAGTTTATATGTTGGGACTAGTGATTTTTCTAGAGCTTAGATAAGGGGGTTTGGGGTTTAGATGTTGGGACCTACTTTGTATGACGAAGCTTTATTAAGTTGGTACCACATGCATGAGTTGAGTTATTGTTGCATTACATTACATACATGTTGTACATATGAGTTATTTTTTAATTGTTGTATTGATTTATGCAATTGAAATATATGTAAGTTGATGTTTTCCCTTTAGGTTACCCTTACATTCTTTTGCACCACTATATGACGTTGAAGCTATTCTTCCTCTTCAATTTTATGCATTTTAGATTATTGTTGCTATGATTTGTAACACTGAGTGAGTGAATGTTTATTTTTTGTTTTATTCTGAGTTATTGTTGCGAGATTAAATGTTTTAACTTCCAATTTTAAGTTGCTTTGATTTTGAAGGTATATTGCCCTAATTGAGTTTAGTTTTAAATAAAAATTATATTTGAACTTATTTGATTGAGTAGTTGTATTTAATGATTAATTCTGCTTCTATAAACCTAAGTAAAGACGAACATGTGATGACATGTGTTTTGAATTAAATATTTTATTTTAGTAAGTGTTACAAAGCATGTTGAATGTGAAGATTGTGTGACTTTCTATGTAAAATAGTTGTTTATAATTGATTTATTCTGTATATTTCGAGTGGGGGTTTTAGGGTGCTAGAGGAAATATTTGGCCACTTGTGTAGCTCGAATTAGATTCGGATGTGAAAAAACTATTGCCCTAGGATTTGCAACAATTTACTGTGGAGGAAGAGACTCTAGATTACTTGCTTTTAAGGCAGTAGCGACATTTTTTCGCGTAGTTCTGGATCTAGTAGCCTTGGATCCAACCATATATGTTGAAGATAAAAATCGATGATCCAAAAGTTTTGAAGAAAAGTGACTGAAGTAGTGCTAAGTCAAATAAAAACACGATAGATTTTCGCATTTGATTACGATTACTTGGTGATCGAAAAGAGTAATGAACTATGAAATTCGAATTACGAATGCAAAATTTCGGAAATTGTAGGAATCAAGAGTCGATTCATACAAATACCCCCACTATTCCATCCTGGAATCATAAATGAGAAGTTTAAACAGAGGTGACAGTGGATCTAAGCCTCCGATGCGGTGAAGTGGGGGTACCTGCAAGGTTAGCATTCAATGGCTCAAGTCAATATATTAAGAAGAGAAAACTGAAAATTGTATATGAAACTCATTATCTTGATTTTGGGCCTATTCTATATATAGAGAGGGATGGAAATGACGAACCTTCTATTTGCTCGCCATTCTTTGCAGATGACCTTTGGATGTGCTTTTATACTTGAGATCTCTTGGAATCGTAAAAATAACTATTTTCACTCATTAAGAATATTCGTGATGGAAGGAGACCTTTATTATAGTGCAGGCTGAGACATCATAATAGAATTAGCTCGTCCACAATCTTTATAGTCGACCCATAATAATATTTATTTTTAAAATGTAGTAAGACATTTATCATAGCTGAAAGTAAATATTATAAAAAAAATATAATTTTTTTTTGGAAAAGGCCAAAATTATATTGCAACCAAAAGAAAAAGCATAAGATATTCCATACAAACATCCATGAACAAAATAGAAAACATAAACAAATATGCAAACTATAAAGCTAAACATCATGCCGAAAAAACAAAGAGCCCACCATAATACAACCCCACAAAAACCCAATACAATCAATGACAAAAGCCCCGCACCAGTCATGCCACCTAACATACCCAACTTAACTTTTAACACCACCAGTTCACTATAACCAGGCACAAGAGCAAGACGGGATTGAACACCCTACAATTCCTACTATAGAAAGACGATACAGAACACAAAAAATGCTTTTGATCGAGTTGATATTCAAAAGCTCAAAAACCTAGCAGCCTCCAAAATACCCAAGCACTATTTGACTACCACCAACAATGCCTACGAATTCACACAACCGGTTGGATTCGAACAAAATTCTTGCAAACAAGCACTATTTAACACCACCAACAATGCCTACGAAGCGTTAGCACCTTTGACCATCCTTCAATTTCTATGGAAATCTTCCATAACTTTTGTAAAATCTTCTTTAATCTCATTCTAAAATTCTTTTATGAAATCAAAATTTATTTTGTCTGGCCCCGAACTATTTTGATTGTCGCAATCCCATTCAATACAATCCGAATAAATGCGGTTTAATTTGAAATAATTTTTTGAATATCCAAATTACAAATTATACCTTTTATTAATATTCAAAAAGTACTAATCAATAATAAATTCGACATTATATATAATATACTATATCAAAATTAATATTACAAGATGAAAATAATAAAACTAAATAGATTAAATCAAACTAATAAATATTATTTAAAAAAATCATTACCATCTAATATTAAATTAACACATATACTAACAAAAATAAAGAAGTATAAAACATATTATTTGGTTTGGATCAACTTTGAAAAATCAATCCGAACTTCGATCCGAACAGAACAGTTTTTACAAAATGACATTCAAATACATCTAAGATTTTTTTGGCTTTTTGTAATTTTCAATTTTTTTATAAATTTATAATTTTTATTTAAATTGATTTGGATTTGAACACTCCTAACGATAACACAAAGATACTTTTGTTGTTTCAATAGTCATCTACATGTTTCAATAGCACCACAACTTTTCGTGATATTAGAGTGAGCTCAAAGTGAAATTACAACCAAGTTAATCTTGAGGGGAGTATTACATGTATTTTAATTGAGTAAATGAAAACATGAATTAGAGTTTCACACTATAACATTTCTTAGCTTCAACCGTTTAGATTTTTATTTTGCTTAAATATAATTAAATTTCTTTTGTAGTCTTGTCGAGGAGGTTGTATTTTCCGGCCCATCATTATTGGCTACGTTACACCTTCCTATGTCTTTCTAAGAGTATAATAATTAATTGTAGGACACGCATAGCAGGATTTGAATCGTTTTTCATTTAATTAAAGCTTACCGATCCCACTCCCAAGCATAATTAATTGTTTTTGAAACCTCCAAATTTCTCTCTATATATACACTATTTGTTCAAAGAAATCGTCACCACTGCACAAGTTAAGCAGTTAATTATTTTAACATGGCGACACCGATTTCATTGAGAATTTTGATCAATGAAGAGAAAAACAAGGTATTGTTTGCTCAAGCAGGGAAAGACTTTACTGATGTCTTGCTAAGTTTCTTAACTTTTCCACTGGCCACGATCGCCAGGCTTGTTAGCACTGAATCTAACATGCAGAAAGTTAGCTTTGGAAGCATAAGCAAATTATATCAAAGCGTGGCCAATCTAGAAGAGCACCAATTTTGGACACCTGCGTGTAAACAAATGCTACTTCAACCAAAGAACTCGATGGAACACTATTACCAAAATTTAAAGATTAACATCGACGTCGCACAGAAACCATGCTATTATGTGTGTGAGAATTGGTACTGTAGTCGGGAACTTAGTGGTGGCTTGTTGACAACATTCTCAAATTTAAAATGCCGTTGTGGGAAGTTTATGTCCCAGAAGATATGTCTGTCTGATACTGAAAAGGTTCAGAATTTTGATGGATTCTTTGCCGATGCAGTAACTTTTTGTATTTCAGATGATTTAAGTTTGAAACCAGATAGTTTTCAAAACTTTATTTGTCAACCAATGAATCTTCTTGGGTTTGAAGATTTCAATGCTATCAAGTTTATCACTGTTGATGTCACTCACAAGGAGGTATGTTTTGTCTGTCACTAAATATAGTAGACTACTTCTTTTACAACATGATGATAATTGTTCTTGTTTATTTTAATTTCCAGATTCTGGATTTGCTGAAGCTCTCCTTAACCTCAGAGTCTCCGTTGACAGACATGTTTCTGCTGAAGAAACAGTCTATCGAGAATACACAACTTAACAGCGTTCTGGATTTTGCTATTGGTATTGTAGAAGAAAATGACGGGAAGAAAATTGAAGTTAAGGTAGTGATGAGAAAATCAAATAGCAAAATTTTGTTTGCTTTAGGTGATGCTGATTTTGCTGACTTTATTTTAAGTTTCCTAACATTTCCCATTGGAGGAGTAGAACACATGTTAAAAGGAAACTCTTGCGGGTCTAGCATAGACAATTTATACAAGAGCATTCTTGAATTGGACAGTGACACATATTTGAAGACCTCTGATTTAAAAGAGAAGCTGGTTAAATCCAAACTTGCACACCAGTTTAAACTCCGTAATCAGTTGTTACCTTTTGATGAAATGCCTCATGTTGATTACTTTTGTGTCACTAGACATAATAGGAAAAAAACCGGATTTCATGCATATCTAACTGCTTTCGAAGAACTTTCTATTTGTACAAAAGAGTTATCTGTTCCTTTGAGGTATTTGGAGCCACAGATATCAATTGGTGAAGTGTTTGCTAGAAGTGGCGGTAAAGGATTCATGAAGAGTCCATCATTGTACATGGTAACTGATGACTTGGTTGTCACGCCAAGTTCTTCTGTTTCTGTTATTTCATTTTTGAGTAATTTAGGGATTCCTTCTTCTGATTTGGAGGAAAGAATGATCACCATTGGAAAATTTGAGGTAATGTTTACACATTAATATTTACTAATTACAAAATTAATTCATAATTTAAAAAAAATTATGATTTATGTTGCTCTTTGTTGTTGTTGCTGCTGCAGGGTCTTAGTATTTTGAAAGCCTCTTTGATCTCGTCTTCCGCTCTATCTAATGGTCTTGGTCCATTTCTTAAAGTCAAGGACTAGAGTACTTCAATTTAAAACTGTTATTTTAGTATTGACTTAGAGTGAATGAACATCATCAGAATCGTTATGCTTAATGTACTAGCTAGTGACTCTAGATGTGCTCTTTTTGTGTGTCCTATATAATTTAGTGAGAAGAAATGTTTAGTTCTTATATATATTTTTTTAAAAATATTAAGCAATGTATCCTATATTTATGTCAACGATATGTTTTGTTTTAAGTTCCACTGTCTTTACTACCATGGCATTATGTTGTTTGCACTATGAGGCGTTTTGTGATACACAAATATAAGGAGATGATTATTTGCGTTCCAAATACCAGGGAATTGTGTTGGGCGAAAACTCACAAGAAAATACTGATGAACAACGTCGAGAGGATAGATAATTAGACAGAATAAGGGTAACATAGTGATATTTATTTCATTAAGAATTCAATGGGGGTATTTATATTACATTACACAACAATACAACTAAGAAACTAATCAGAAAAAGAATCTAGCAGCTCGTAACGAGTTACAGCGCTGACGCAGCTGGCTACCTCAATGGTTATCTAATACGTAAAAGTGTTAACATGTTACAAAAACATTCTGCCAGTTGTGATAATTAGTTACAAACTTGTGATAAAATAGGTTTTGAAGACTTATCGCCAATGGTGGTAAATGGTTACAACCCCCTACTAATCCTTTATGATTATTTGAATTATAAATTATCTCAAAGACATTAATGACGAGATTTATAGTTGAAATGTTTTCATCAAATTCATCAACTATACAGTTTGACACGCATACAAAGACGCTGCAATTTACTTAGCCTCTCAAGTAGATAGCGCTAGAGCTGGTTCCTTCTTAGAACACCAAGAGGGTATTGTTTCTCCGTACATAAAGATGTATCCGGTAGTGGATTTTCTATCATTTTTATCTCAACACTAGTTTGATTCGGTATAGTCGAGTAATTTGTAGCTTATACCTTTGTCAGTTGTGGGAAACAAATTCTGCAACCAATCGAACGTTTAAGGTATCTCAGAATTCTATTGATTGCTGTCAAATGTGATGCCTTTGAATTTTTCATAAATATGCTCATTATGCCCATATTATATGCCACTTCCGACCCCGTATTGCACAAGTACTACAATGATCCAATCACACTCTTTTATTAAATTGGATTAACCTCCTTCTCATCTTCATTCTTTGACAACTGCAGCCTTGGTTATGTAAGGGCAATGACTACACTACAATGCTCAATTTCAAACTTATTTAATGCCTCAAGTCAGTCCCTTTGTTGATGTTATTGTTATATATGTTGATAATTTTTTTTTGTTGAATTACAATGTCATGCTAGTTTATGCTAGTTATGTTAATGTTATTTTTATGTATGTTGATAAAAGTATGTATGTTGTTGATAAATGTTGTTGTACGTCGTTGATGTTACTTTGTTTCAAAATATGCTTATATATTATTGTTTATGTTTCAATAACTTGTTTCATAATGTTTGAACTTTCTGCTTATTTTGACTTGTAGGTAGGGATGCTTGTTTCAATAACGAGGATGAAGTTAAAGTGAGCACAACAAACTTGTGTGAAAGACTCAGAATGACACCCATTCAAAATTAACACAAGTTTGCAACTCTCACTTCAGCTTCATCCTCCTTTCATTGTGGATGCTATTATGGGAGACATATACATTTCTGAAACATTCTATAAGTTGATATGTTGTTGTTCTTATTAATAAAAGTTTTATGTTGTATCTGGTTTATGTTATGTGTTGATGATTTTGTTGTTGATGAATTTTGTTATTAATGTTTGTTTAAAAGATGATTTTATTATATCTTATATGGTTTGAATGTTTTTCCAATCTGTTACTGAATATATAACTTTTCAAATTACATTAGAAAATTATAATATGATAGATAATTCTATATTAAAAAACAAGTACACGTTCAATTCTAGACAAGAATTCTTCATCCTGTTATCTGCATTTCGTTCTTTAACAGTTAGAACTTTATTTAATGCTTGTAGTTTTTCAACCGCCCTTTTATCCACCTCTAATTTTGTTTGCAAAGTAAATCATATTTTGCATAATGAACTAGAGATGAATTAAGGGGAGGTTGAAGAAGTAGGAGCATTAAACAAAGTTCTAACCATTAAAGAGAAAAATGCAGATAAGGAGTTGAAGAACTCTTGTATAGCATTGAACGTGAATTTGTTCTTCTAATATAACTTAATTTGTCATTTTATAATGTTCTAGATCATGTTGAAAGGTTATATGTCTAGTGAGCATTGGCGAAATAAGTATTCCACATAATTTATAATAAACGCAGTGTATATATCACAAGGATTATTTATACCAACTGTTGTTAAATGTTATGCGTAAGAATATCATAATGGTTGTTTGAAGTAACCATTGTGATAGATAGTGCACTATATAGCTTATAATGATGGTAGCATGACCGTGGTGGAAAGCTTTATACGCAAGACCATACCTTACTTCACAACGATTGGTCAGGCATGATGGTATCACTTTTGCAGCCATTTTGAAATGGCTTTTCCGTAGTAGTGTTTAGAAACTCGTTCATTCTCTTGTTCCATGCTCTTGGTGCTTGATTAAGCCCATACAACGCATTTCTAAATCTATAGAACTTGGACTCCTCGTTTTTCACAACAAAACCATGAGGTTGTGTCATATTCACCTCCCCCTCTAATGGACAATTCAAAAATGTGGATTTGACATACATTTGATAGATGGAGCAATTTTTGTTATTTGCAATTCCAATAACTAGCCTAATGGTCTCAGCTCTAGCCACTAGTGCAAATACTTATATAAAGTATATGTCTTTGTTTTGCAAAAATCCCTTTGCCATTAATCTAGCCTTGTGCTTTATAAACTCACCTTTCGGATTTGCCTTCACTTTGTACACCCAGTTTGCACCAATTGACTTCTATCCTTGAGGTAGGTCAACTATTTCCCATGTTTTATTTTCCTAAATTATTTCCATATCCTCCTTCATTGCACATATCCATTTTGGACCATTCAAGGCCTCCTCTGCTTTCACTAGTTTAGATTCAGCCATGAGTTTAAAATAAACAAGATCACCATTATCATTTACTTTAGTGTCTAGGAATAATTCACAATCTTGTAATCTTGCAGGCATCCCTCTTTACCTTGTTGATATTCTCACATTTTCTTCCAGTTGAAGTTCTCTGAGTGCAGTTTCCTTCCTTTCAAACTCTATAGGAACAATTCCATAATTGTGGTAATCGATTACAATTGGGTGGTAATCGGTTATTATCTGCTTCCAGACCCTTGTTTTTATCAAAAATCACATCCCTAGATATGGAAAATTGATAGTGTTTTTTTGTTACCTTCTAATGGGGGGATTCTCAATATATCTTTATGGAACTATGTGCTTGTAGGTATTAAAGATCAACCTCTGGAGTTTTGATGACAATAATACATGAGAATATCTTTCAACCTTGATGATAAGAACCTAACAACTCATTAGCAAAAGGAAACAAGACCATTTTCCTATACAGTTATAAAATATCTAGCAAAGTCTTAAGGCAGAATGAAAAAAGCGTGAAAGCTCGCCAGATCTTGTCTGTCAGTCTGTTTGAGTGGACTAAGTATTGTAAAAGTAAGGTAGTAGCTTAAGATTACTAAGACAACTCTCTCTCTCTCTCTCTCTCTCTCTCTCTCTCACTCTCTCACACACACAAAGTTTTTCTAAACCAAAATTAAGTGATTAAAAAGTTTTTCAAAACTTTTTAAAAACCTTTCATCGATTGGAAAGATGTTCCAATTGATTGGCAAAATCTTTGTAAGCAACCAATCGATTGTGATACTATGGAAATCAATTATAAAATAAATAAAGACATCACACTAAAGTCTTGCAATAGATATATATCCAAACTTTCCATTTTAGGTCTTACAATCAATTGTATTTGAGTTGTCCAATCGGTTCCAGCATTTTGTCAACCGATTGGAAATTCATTCCGACCCATGAATCATTTCCTTTTTGGGTGGTTCCAACTACTATATAAGAGAGGGTCTTCCTCACTTCAAACTATGACACTTTACAATGTTTTCATATTTCTTTAAAATTTATTTCTCTCCCTATCTTTAGAAAATAGTTCCATTCACTTCAAATTGCCTTAGTGCAACTAAGTGAAGCTTTACTTGTGAGCAAGACAATTTGTGTAAGTGGTCATGTTGGTCGTTTATATTCTTAAGGATGTGATGCCTTTAAGAGATTGAATTTGGTTATTGAGATCAAACCGTCATAAAATCTTTGTTCTTGATTTATTAAGCGTCACCAGAAAAAGATTTGTTTTGGTTATTGAGATCAACCATAAATCTCTATACGGGTCAATAGTTTAACTTGGGATAAAGTTGTCATTTGGTTGGAGATAATCTTGTTAAAAAAATTTATTGAGCTGGCACCACAATTATTCCCACTTAGATTTGATCCCAACGTGCAATGTAAATATCATAATGAGTCAATCGGGCATTCTGTTGAAGTCTATAAGACATTTAAAGATGAAGTTCTAAAGCTAATCAAATGAAAACACGTGGTATTTGAAGAAGAGAACCTAAATATGGAGTGTGGGTACCGGAACCATGGGGTATGCTATCGAGGAATGTAAAAGCTTTCGTAACAAATTGCATAAAATGATAAAAAAGAAGGGCCTAAACATATATCGTTTAAACCAAAGGCCTGACAAAAAGAAATGCCAAGAACTTCTTGGACCACATAGGATCTTGTACCATAAGGAAAATGCCAAGCCTATGGTAGATTAAACACCTTTATTTCTTGGCGAGGATGCTAAAATGGAAGCCTGGGATGCAACCATACCCACAATTGAAGACAAAGAAGAATTGGGAGATAAGTCCAAGAAGGCTGCATTGTGTGAAGATGCCAAAACAGGAGATTTCGAGGATCATCCCATTGATATTGATGAGCACAAAAACATCAATATTTGGGTCGGAAAGGAGCCAACCAAGTAGTGA